CACTGTCCACTGCACCTGCCTGGCTGCCTGGGCACCCACTGCCCCCTACATTCATTATCGAGTATCCCCGCTGCAACTGGTTACACCAGACTCGACCATGGAAGAGCACTACTTTTGCTGATGCTGTAGCCCAAAGGATTTGCTGGGAGGGCTGGGTGAATGTTGAGCCGTATTATGTCCAGCTGGGAGGCAAGTGCATCTTTAGGCAAACTTTTCTTTTCTACCTTAGCAGTATCCAAATAACCCATATGGACACTTAATATTAACTATAAATTCCCGACTGATAGCTCAGGCTTATTACTAACTAGTTCTGACAACTTAGATTAACCTGTTGCTGCTTGGGGGACCAGCCTCCAGCAGCGCTGGGCTCAAAGGAAATCAAGAGTTGGTACACTATAACTTTTTATCTGAGGGGTTAGGGAAAAAAACCCTCGCTCTCTCTCTCATGGTGGTTTCTTTCAGACCTTATCTTTATTCTTCTTTAGCATTCTCCAATCTTTATTATCCTAGTGAGTTTCTTCTCTCATTCTTTTTTTTAAAAAAATATTTACGTATTTATTTATTTATTTATTTATTATGTATGCAATATTCTGTCTGTGTGTATGCCTGAAGGCCACAGAGGGCATCAGACCTCATTACAGATGGTTGGGAGCTACCAAGTGGTTTTTAGGAATTGAACTCAGAACCTTTGCAAGATGAGGCAATGCTCTTAACCTCTGAGCCATCTCTAAAGCCCCCCAATCTAACTTTAATAAGTTATTTTCAAAGACTTATTTCCAGTAAGAAGCACTCTGTAACCTGTGACCACATCTCCCAACATTGACATTAAAAGGATCTGAGCCAGCCTGGCTCCTGGGGACTCAATTGTTTCCTTAACTATGAACCTGACCTGCATCTCTGCAGCTCCTCAGGTGAAACTTGAAGGTCCTAGCTGTGGAACACTTCCTTGTACTTATTTTTAATCATCAGAAATCTGTTAAACTAACATTATTACTATCAGTCAGTAGAGTTTAAGAAGAAATCATCTTAAAAACACCCCACAGGTAAAACGCCCAGTAGAACGGGATGTTCCCATGAGATAATCACGCCACATTACAGGCAGTGGGGATCTCCCCACACCATTCACACCATACCAGATACCAGAGAAAGACAGCAGAAGCCAAAGACATTCTGGAGTCTGTGGTCTCAGGGCCTTGTCTGTCTGAGACTCACCCGCCAGGGATTTTCCTCCTGGTGGGCTGACACCCTGAAGTTGATCTCCATTGCTGCTCCTCTGACATGGCCACAGACATAACCCATTTCTATTAATCTCCATCTGCCAAGTGCCATTACCTCTCTTTCCTCCCGCACCTCCTGTTTCCTCTCTGTCTGGAGGAGACTCCTCTGACTCTGCCCTTCTTCATCCCAGAGTCCTTAATCTGGTTCTCCTGACTAACCTTTTGCTGTTTAGCTATTGGCCACTCAGCTTCTTTGAAACCAATCACAGGGACATATATTTACACAGAGTAAAGGAAGATTCCACAGCTTCTACCTGCTTGGCCGTCTGACTGATTCTTGGTTTTGAGACAGGGACTTTGTATACGAGGCTGCCTTGAATCTGCTGCATATCAGGTCTCCTTGTCTCTAGCTTCCAACTACTGTGTGTATAACACGTCTGGCTTTTTCATAGTATAGACTGTCATCAAGAAAAAAAGTTTTTTAAGACAGGATCTATGTAGCCATGGCTGTCTTGGAACTTGCTGTGTAGACCAGGCTAGCCTCCAGTTCTGAGACCCATCTGCTTCTGCTTCCCCATGATAGAAGTAAAGGTGTGTGTCATCATGTCTGGCTCAGCCTCAAACATTCAATCCTACCTCAGCTACCTGAGGTAGCAGGCCTTGGAGATGTGAACACACTGGCTTGTCCCAGGTTTATATGTTCATGACTGTGAAGACCCAAGGCCCATCTATTCAGTCTGGGTGGTCCCTCTGCACTTTAAATCCTCCGGGGCAGTGGCTGAAAATTCTAGAGGGTTTAATTGCTTAACAACCAGCATCAGTTTCTGTGTGCTGCTAGGGAGGAAACCTGGGCCCTTAACCCTGGCAGGCACATGCTTTACCACTGAGTTATATAGCTCTCCCCGCCTAACCAGCCAGGTGCGGTATAACACTGGAAAATCCTAGCACTTGAAAAGCAGAGGCTGGAGGATTGCTGCAAGTTCAAGATCAACTGTGTTACTGAGTGGGAGAGTCTAACTCAATAAGCTACTTGCTCCCACCCCCAGCAGTGGCTTTCCTCTGCTTTAGGAACAGGCCTTTGTTCCTGGCCTGAAGGCCTTAGCCCTGCTTTGTGTGTCTGTGAATGTGCATTTTTATGCCTAAGTGGTGTGTTGTGTGCTGTTTTTCTCTTTTGGGTTTTGAGGGGTCCACCACGCAGCTCCCAAATTAATCGCACACAGAGACTTATTCTTAGTTTTAAATGCTAAGCCGGATGTTGGCTTCTTTCTTGTCAGCTTTTCTTAAATTAGCCTGACCACCTTTTGCCTCTGGGCTTTTATATTCCTCTATTTCTGTATATATATTTTTTAGTCCTTTCTCTGCAGCTTCCCGTGTAGCTGGGTGACTGACCCCTGTAGTCCCCCTTTTCTTGTTAGCTTGCTGTTCCCGCCCCCCTCCTAGATTTCTCCTTCTGTGTATCCTGTCAGCCTGCCAGCCCCGCCTATCCGTGTTCCTGCCTTGCTATTGGTCATTTAGCTCTTTATTAGGACCATCAGGTGTTTTAGACAGGCAAAGAATCACAGCTTCACAGAGTTAAGCAAAATCCTGCCCCAGCTTCCTCCATTGTCTTTATCCATAGCAAAATAAAGAGCTACTTCTTCCAGAGAAAGCAGTGCTGGGTCAGCACTAGGGAAATGCGTGCGTGCGTGCGTGCGTGTGTGTGCGTGTATGTGAGCACAGAGGATTTCCCTTCTCTGTTTTGGAGGACTGGTCTCATATTGTAGCCCAGGAAGGACTGGAACTCACTAGATAGTCCAGGCTAGCCTCCAGCAGGCAGCAATCTTCTCAAACATGAGCCATCACAGTAGGCAAGGTCACCTATTGTAGTGTACAACTCTAAAGGTTTGGACATACAGTCTTGAGTCACCCCACAATCAACATACAGTCCCATCCCCCAGGGCAGCTCTCCATGTCCTCCTCTCTCTGAGGATTCTGGAAGCCAATGGTATGTGTTCTGGTGCTGGAGTGTCGTGGGGTACCCACCAGAGAGGACGCCTCACACATGGGTTTAAGACAACAGAAAGTCTCTATTAGCCAGCCAGAGACCCCCGGACGTTTAGGATCCCGGAGTAGCCCTAAGCATTTCTCAGGGTGAGCTTTTAAAGCACAAAAACCATATTCTGGGTTGACATTCTTCAGTGTTCGTCAGAAACAGAACTGCAGAAGACAAAAATCAAGGTGGGTACAGTGAGAGACATCCCAGAACTATGGATCTGAGGGATTAGGTCTTTGCTTCATTTTGGAAGGTGATGCTGTCTCCATGCTGAGTTTTATAAGCTGAATGGTATTTCCATCATGGAGTCAGTTCTGCCAAGGTCTGGGGTCTGCATTAGCGGAGGAGCCAGAGAGGGCACTGGACCCCCTGGAAGTGCAGTTACAGAAGGTTGTGAGCGGCCATGTGGGTGCTGGAAATCACACCCGGTCCTCTGGAAGAGCCCCCAGTGCTTTAACTGCCGAGCCGCCTTTCTGTCCTTGTTTCCTGTCCCCGTGGAGTTGTCTCTGCAGCAGTGTTACACGCAGAATCACGCGTGTGGCCCCGAGGCTTCTTCCACCTGCTGAGACTCCTCTGCTACCGTGGGTTCACAGCTTAGTCCTTTGCCCACTCTACCCAGAGGGACATTCAGGTTGTTTTTGTATTCTGCGACTTCCAAGTGACCAACTCTAAAGTCTCCTTCATGGCGGAGATATGGCTCAGTTGGTAGAGGGCTCCGTCATCCCAGCACTTAGTAGGCAAAAGAACAGGAAGTTCAAGGTTATCCTCAACAACTATATGAATTGAAGCTACAGGAGATACACAAGAGCCTTACAAATATGTGTGTGTGTGTGTGTATGTGTATGTATATGCATGTATGTATGTATAATGTTAAAGAACAACAGAGAATATAGGCTTTTGTGTGAATATATCTTTTCATATCCTTGAATAAAAAAAAAAAAAAAAAAGAAAGCCGGGCGGTGGTGGCGCACGCCTTTAATCCCAGCACTCGGGAGGCAGAGGCAGGCGGATCTCTGTGAGTTCGAGACCAGCCTGGTCTACAAGAGCTAGTTCCAGGACAGGCTCCAAAACCACAGAGAAACCCTGTCTCGAAAAAACCAAAAAAAAAAAAAAAAAGAAGTTGCTGAGTCATTGTGACCAACCTTTTGTCAACAGCTTACAGATTGGTTGGAAATACCATTTCCAGTCCTTATCTTTGCACCCCGACCTTTGCAGGACCTATCACCAACAATACAAGTTAGTAATTGACTTATGCCCTCAACCTCAATTCATTCATGAAGCTATTTGTTTTAGTTTGTAAGACAAGACCTTTGGTAAGCAAGGTGGACTTTGAGTTCTTAATCTTTCCGTCTCTACCTCCATTCCCAAGTGCACTGGGACAAGCCCAGGTCACACACCCGAATTTATTGATTTTTTGCTACATTCAATCAATCTTTTTTTAAAAAAGAAAAACAAAACTAAAACTTGTGTCTCAGCAGTTGTAGAGTACTGGAATTTTGGGCAGGAGGTCACTCACCCCATAAACTCCTAAAAGGGAACAGAGACCCAGGGTGGCTCAGGAGTGAAGCAGAGAGAACAATCAGGGAAGGGTGCCAGCTTACTTTCTTTCAGGGTGCACAGGTAGGTTCAAGATTTGCAGGGCAGATTCAGAGCTTTGAGGAAGTCTCTCACACCAGACTGCAAATTCCGCCCACCTCTGCTCGCTCCGCCCCATGGGCATGGCCACTAACAGCAGCTATTAAAGCCATAGGCGTCTTTGCGCTAGAGCTGCAAACTCCTGGGTCCACAGTCCTCTCTTATCCTTCGCCTTCCTCCACCTTTACCAGAGCCATCATGTCGTTTGCTCGTCCTGCCACTGTGCTGGGTGCAATGGAAATGGGGGGCCGCATGGATCAGACCTCCAGCGCCTCTTCGGTGCAAGCCTTCCTGAAGCGTGGCCACACCGAGATCGACACAGCCTTTATGTATACGGAAGGCCGGTCTGAGACAATCCTGGGCAGCCTGGGGCTCGGGCTGGGTCGCAGTGACTGCAAAGGTAACAGTCAAATCTGTCATCCCCTGCTCCTGCACAGCTTTGTCTGGCTCCTGGAGCCCTGGTCTCCCCTTGTCTATGCAAGAGCTCTGAGAACTGCACCTTTTCAGGCATGCAAACCCTTCAGACATAGCTAGCTTTCGTTTTGACAGTCTTCTTCCACACTCTGTTCTGAAAAAGTAGCTGAGGATCCTCCTCACACTGTGTGCCTAGCTTTAGTCCAGCCTGGACCCATGTGGCTAGCCCTAGCTTGTGTTCTGGGCTGCTGCCAGCAGGTGCCCTGGAGGCACGTTATCTACAGGACTCCTGTCGGTGGCGCTGCTCAGTACCACCATCCCAGACAGAAACCTCCTTCCTCCTTATGGCCCTGGATCCTGTAGATAGTGAGCCTGTTGGTTAACAGGGCCTCATGCTTCATCCGGGCAGTGGTCATAGAAACCAGTGTCACCCGCTGGAGAGATGGCTCAGAGGTTAAGAGCCCTGACTGCTCTTCCAGTAGTCCTCAGTTCAATTCCCAGCAACCAATGGTGGCTCACAACCATCTGTAATGAGGTCTGGTGCAGACAGAATACTATGTATGGATTATGCACATACATAATACAATTTGTATGTATTATGTCATACATAATACTTGTATTGTTTACATGCACTATGTATGTAATTAGTACTTTTTTTAAAAAAAAAAGGTTAAATAAAGAAACCAATGTTTCTACACAAAAGGAACAGGGGCCTGGAGCTGTGCAGCTGTCTTGTGCTTGTCTTGTCTACACTCAGTTAGTCCCCTGCCTCAGCCTCTACAGGCAGCACTGCACTTCTCTGGGCTGCTGCTATGCTGTATGGAACTCTTCCTCTTCCATTGCACTCTGACCACTGCCCTATGGAGTTCTACTCAGGGATTCACCGCACAGTGGAATCCAGAACAGAAGCAGACCTGTACACTCGGTGCCTTGCTGTTTGTAGATCCCTGCCTACCTCCAAGTGAAAGGAGGAGTTGTATTATGTGATAGGATCTGTCTATGCAGCCCAGGCAAACCTAGGATCTACATGTAGCTCAGGCTGGGCTACTCCTGCCCAGTTTCTAGAGTGCTGGCATTATACATTATGTTACCCATTACCACCACCAGAACCTGGATCTGATTTCTTTTCTTTCTTTTCTTTTTTTTTTTTTTTTGGTTTTTTCGAGACAGGGTTTCTCTGTAGCTTTTGGTGCCTGTCCCAGAACTAGCTCTTGTAGACCAGGCTGGCCTCGAACTCCCAGAGATCTGCCTGCCTCTGCCTCCCGAGTGCTGTGAGTGCGCAACCACCGCCTGGCCCTGGATCTGATTTCTGATTGAAATTGCTTTTTTGAGCCCTCCCTCCTTCCCCTGGTTGAGTTCAGGGCTGCTTGGGCCAAACCATGGCTCAGCTCTGAAGCTGATGTCCCATCAGGAAAGTCAAGTAATGTGGTTTCTCTCCAGCTCTGTTTTCTTTTCTCTTTCCCCGTGTCCCTCACCCCAGACCTGGTGCTCTGGTGCCTTGATTGGCAGGTGTGGCTCCCACCCAGGGCCTTTTTGCTCACGGTTTCTAAAGCCCTCCTCCCTGTGAACAAGTACCTTATTGTTCTTAGTTTGCTAGCTTCTCACTTGCCCTAGACACTCAGATGAGATTCTCAGGAACCCCTGTGACCCCAGGCTAGCCTCTGCCTCCCTGCTCTGCCCCCCTGTGGAACCTCAACTTCTCCCCTGCCTCACTACTCAACAGCAGCCTGTACTCTGCAAGGCCCTGAGCGCAGGTCCTCCGCATCCACCAGCCCCAGTGCCTGGTTTGGCTCACCTAGGTGCCCAGTAGGTAATTGTCACAGCGAGGATACCAACCACTCTTCATGTTCATTGTCAGTTATGCCTGTCAACCTTCAGGGTTTCTCCGTAAGCCATTATCAGTCCCATTGTGATTTACAGTTGGCAGCATCGAGGAACACTCAATTTAGTTAAGGCCACAGCTATGAGTGGCAGAGCTGCAATTTGAACCCAATTATCTCTGCGTTTGTCTGTATATTTCTTAACTCTCTCTCTCTCCCCCTCTATTCACCCTCTCTTCCTCCTTTCCCCTGCTCTTTTTGATAAAGTGTTTCCTATAGACCTAGACTTGTACTATGTGGGCAAGGATGACCATGAGTTCAAATGGAGGTGGAGCTTTCCTTTCCTGATTGCAGGATCCCGAATAATCACACAGAAACTTATATTAATACCAAACTGTTTGGCCTATAGTTCATGTTTATTACTAACTAGCTCTTACATTAACTCTTACATCTAAGCTAACCCACTTCTAATAATCTATGTATTGCCATGTAACGATGGCTTTTACCAGTCTGCTGGCATGGTTTTTCTTGGGCAGTTGCTTGCATCTCTTTCTAGTATTCTGCTCCTCATCTGAATCCCCAGTTTGAATGTTCCACCTAACCTTTTCTTGCCTGGTTACTGATCAAACAGTTTTTATTATTAACCAATAGGAACAATACATATTTACAGTGTACAGAAGCATGCCGTAACACTTGAGTTCCTGATCCATTCCTCCATCCCTACAGATTTAGGAACAGAGGCAGGTACCACCATATCCGGCCCAGTCCCAGTTCTCTTCCTCAACTGTTACGGTAGATACTATGTTTGATAAAGTGACTTGAACTTGCATGTTCCCCCCCCACCCCGAAAGTGAAAATTGCAACCAAGGCTTGTCCAATGTTTGGGAAGACATTGAAGCCTGATGATGTCCGGTTCCAGCTGGAGACGTCACTAAAGCGGCTGCAATGTCCCCGGGTGGACCTCTTCTACCTACACATGCCAGACCACAACACCCCTATAGAGGAGACGCTGCAGGTCTGCCACCAGCTGCATCAGGAGGTGAGTGTGGCCCCTGAGCTTGGGGAGATGCTCTCTGACCTTTCCAACTTGACCCTGCTGGGGGAGTGAGTGCTGGCAACACACAGCAGGGCAGGCACAGACCTCACTCCAGGCTGCCCTCCCAGTCAGTCCCCCCATCCTGGTCTCCTGGACTGAGCTGGGCTCTGATGGAGTCTCTCCCCTGCAGGGCAAGTTTGTGGAGCTTGGCCTGTCCAACTATGCCTCCTGGGAAGTGGCTGAGATCTGTACCCTCTGCAAGAAAAATGGCTGGATCGTGCCAACTGTGTACCAGGTGAGAGGAATCTGGTGTTTTAGGACCATCCAGACTTTGGGGTCCAAGGCTCCATTGAGTCTCAATCTTTGGCATGACCATGAGACCTGCCGACAGCACTGTGTGAATGCCCTGAATGTCTAGGTCTGAGATTGTTAAGGACTAAAGTGAGGGACTTAGGAAGATACATTTGGTGTCTGTTGACATGTCCTCCCTCTCCGAATGTCTCCCTGCAGGGCATGTACAATGCCACCACCCGGCAGGTGGAGAAGGAGCTCTTCCCCTGTCTCAGACACTTTGGATTGAGATTCTATGCCTTCAATCCTTTGGCTGGTAAGGGCTCTCATGGGGACCGGCCATGTGTTTGTGTGGGTGAGTGGACATGCCTGGCCCATGTTTCTCCTATTGATGGCCTGGTGAATGCTCATCTCAGACCTGGGAAGTCTGGAGCTTCGAGAAGGGGTTCCTGGATCTCCTCATTCCAGACTCCCTCCTGTTTTCCAGTTCCTAGCAGAGAATGACCTGGCTGTCTCTGGGAGGAGTCTGGACCAGGTTCTGACTGCTCTCTTCCTGCAGGTGGTCTGCTGACTGGCAGATATAAATACCAGGACAAGGACAAAAAGCAGCCTGAGAGCCGCTTCTTTGGGATTCAGTTTGCTCATGTTACCTTTAACCGGTGAGCTGTGATGAGGGGCTGTGTCTGGGAGAGAAGTGCTATAGGTTTCCTTGGTTGGAGGGAGGATCCTTGAGGCTGCTTTCTTGGGGACCAGCCCTACTGTGGTTTCAGCCCTAAGACTCTGGATGTTAAATCTCAAACTTGCTTTATATTTGAGGTTGACCTTGAACTCCTGATCTTCATGCCTTCACATAAAGACCTAGGATATTTGTTTTTCTTTCCCCCACACAGGGTTTGTGTGTGTGTGTGTGTGTGTGTGTGTGTGTGTGTGTGTGTGTGTGTTTGTCCTGGAACTCACTCTTTAGACCAGATTGGCCTTTTTCTTAGACATCTGCCTGCCTCTGCCCCCTGTGTGCTGGGATTATAGGTGTGTGCCACCACCACTTGGGCAATGAGCTAGGATTCCTAGTGTCTTTTACAATGCTCTAATCCAAATTTTAAATATCCAAAAATGTATCTGATTGGGGAAACTGAGGCAGAAAGATTACAAGTGCAAGGCCAGCCTATCGCCTGGGATGGAGTGCTTAAAGCTCTGGCTTTGATTCCCAGCATTACAAAAATAGAAAGAAAAAAAAGAAAAATTATCAAAGATTTGATCTTTCTTTCAAGTGACTTTTTTTTTTTTTGGTTTTTTGAGACAGGGTTTCTCTGTAGCTTTGGTGCCCATCCCAGAACTAGCTCTTGTATACCAGGCTAGCCTCGAACTCCCAGAGATCTGCCTGCCTCTGCCTCCCGAGTGATGGGATTAAAGGCGTGTGCCACCACCGCCCGGCTCCAGTGACTTTTTTTGAGATCTAATTTGACCCAGTATAGTGTACAACTTGTGATGCTCCTGCCTCAGCCTTCTGAGATGTGGGATCACATGTGTATGTCTCCATGTCCAGCCACTGTGGAACTCTTACACTTCCCTCCCCTCTGGTATCTTAGCTGCCATGTCTCCAAGGTTCATTGCTGAGCATAGACTGACGCGTTTGCTGTTTGTATTCTCTGTCTGGGAAGGAAAGGCCCAGCAAGCAAGCTTCCTACAGGAGGCTGTGATATTGGTTTGATTGGAAAAATCCAAAGTTAAAAGCAGTGAGCAGAGTGTGTTAGCCTGACTGTGTATTCTGCTTGATTCAAGCCTGACCTGTAGGGAGTGTGCTGCTCACTGGCAGAGCAAAGATTGGGTGTGAGGATGCCTTGCCTTTGATGCTCAGCACCTCAGAACAAAATGGCAACCACAAAGAACCCCTAACTGCAGCCTCCCCCCACTAACAGTCTGTGATCCTTCTGCCTGGAGTACAAACCATTGCCTTGAATGATGATTCTAAAGGCATTTCACACAGTGTCAGATCCCAGGGTTCTCCTCCAGAGAATCAAGGCCTGCTGCCCTTCAGAATCCAGCGCAATCAGCTTCTCTTCTGACCGTGATGCTAAGACAGACTTCAGGGAGAGTGTTCCTTCCTCAGGAAGTAGACCAGTGAGTGCAGGGAAAGGAGGTGACCACAGAAGCCAGACTGGTGCCCAGGACTTTAGCATGTGTGACCCAGGGCTCCCAAGTGTGTTGTGGCAGCTGAGAGTCCTCACTTAGGGAGCTGTATTGTTAATGTTTAATGAGCATGTAAAATACCAGATTCTTGTCCTCTATGTCCCTCGCTGACCTGACAAGGGGTCTGGAGACCTGTGTGTTCTGATGCTGAAGGGGCAGAGCTCTGCCTAAGGACAGAAGCCACTTCAGGAATGTAGGGTTTGGGTCTCCCTCTAGTGACACCTGAGAAACTGGCCCCACGTCACTGTCGTCCCCCCCCCCTGCCCCCACCCATTCAGGTACTGGAAGGAGGAACACTTCAAGGGCATCGCTCTGGTGGAAAAGGCTCTGAAATCCAGCTATGGCGCCAGCACCCCCAGTATGACCTCGGCCGCCCTGCGGTGGATGTACCATCACTCACAGCTCAAGGTAGCCCAGGAGGTCCTGGTGGTTCAGCCTCTGCTGTGAAGTAGGATGCGGGGGGGGGGGGGGGTACGCGGTTGAATTCCCTGGAGATTCCATCTTCTCTGGCCCAGCTTCTCCCAGGCTGGTGACATGTGGTAGTGCTAGTTTACCTTGCTGTGTTCCAATGACTGTGTGAAGTCTAGTCGTCTAGATTGTTTTTCTTTTTCTTTTTCTTTTTTTTTTTTAAGATTTATTTATTTATTATGTATACAACATTCCTTCCATGTATGCTTGCATGCCAGAAGAGGGCACCAGATCTCATTATAGATGGCTGTGAGCCACCATGTGGTTGCTGGAAATTGAACTCAGGACCTTTGGAAGAGCAGTCAGTGCTCTTAACCTCTGAGCCATCTCTCCAGCCCCCTGGATTGTTTTTCTTAAAGTTCTAGTTATTTTGTCTGTATGAGTGCTTTTCTGGTGGCCACATGTGCTTGTAGTTCCAGCAGAAGCCAGAAGAGGGTGGCACATCTCCAAGATTGTAGTTACAAGTGATTGTGAGCCAGCACCAGGTGGGTAGTGAAAACCAAATCCAGGTTGTCTTCAAGAGCAAAAACTGCTCCTAGCGGTTAAGCCATCCCTCCAGCTCCCATGATTTCTATTTCCATACGGAGAAATTGGTTCTCCATATAAGCAAGAGGTTTTCTTGCTAAAGTCCTACAGCTGCATGGTGTAGGAAATAAAGCATAGATTTGGCTCTGAAAGGTACATTTAAAAACAAATTGTTTATTAACATCCCTTCCAGCACTCTCTCTGGAGAGACAACTCTATTCTGTGTCCCTGGGAGCATCCCTTTCTGTCTGCTGTCCCCACTTCCTCTCCTTAAGTCCCTTCTCCAGTGTGGGCATTCTGGGGTAATGTTGCCCCTTTAGTTCTTGGTAAATGTCAGGCCTGAATCTAAGTTTTTCCCAAACTGTCCTGCAGGGCAGAGGAGCCTGGCAGACCTTGGCTCTTTGGAGGCAGTAGTCATTTCTCCCAGAAGCAATACTCAAGTGAAAACAGATCCCAAACCTCAGCAAGCAACGGGCTGGAGGGGCGGGTAATGAGTCGATGGGATGGCAGATGTGTGCTGGAATCTGTATGTCCTTGCAGGGCGCCCATGGGGATGCAGTCATTCTGGGCATGTCCAGTCTGGAGCAATTGGAGCAGAACTTGGCCTTTGTTGAAGAAGGGCCCCTGGAGCCGGCTGTCGTGGAGGCCTTTGACCAAGCCTGGGACCTGATTGCTCATGACTGCCCCAACTACTTCCGCTAGGCTGGTTCTGACTTGAGGAGGTGTAGAGGTCACTGCCTGTCAGGCTGTGTTCTAGCCTGGCTAGTCTGGGCTGTGAGCCAAGTCAGCTGCTCTTTCCCTCCTCATCCAGATCTCCTCCTGTTGAATAAAACCTGTCAGGGCTGTAGCTCAGGCTGCAGCAGACCTGGTGGCCTTATTCTTTGAAATTTGCTTGGCTTAATCCTTGCTTTCCTTCTGAGGGTCCAGGGGAAGGGTGCAGGAATGTGCCGGGTCCTCAGAGGGCAGAGGCCGCGGGAGGCCTGCTCTCTAGCAGTGGGGCTTGGTGGTGGCTCAAGTCAGAAAAACACCCAGGATCCTTCCGGCACCAGGCATTGCCTTCCTCCCCACCATGGTTCTGCACAGCAGTGGACAGCGGCTCTGCCCCAGGTGACGTCTCCTCGTTCATCTACAGCATCAGCTTACCCAGCTCGCAGGCTGTGGAATTTCCACCGCCATCCCTCATGAAGAATACAGGCAACAAGAAGCTGAAAAGTCTTCTGGTCAGCCCAGGCTTCCCCAGACTCAGTTCAACACAGCACGAGACAGGTCCTTAGTGTGGGTTCAATCAGATCCCCAAGTGTTGGGTTCAATCAGATCCCCAAGTGTTGTGGGACATTTGATTGCATTGTGACACTCTTAACAAAGTTTCACCTTGTTTTTTTTTTTTTTTTTTTTTTTTTCGAGACAGGGTTTCTCTGTGGCTTTGGAGCCTGTCCTGGAACTAGCTCTGTAGACCAGGCTGGTCTCGAACTCACAGAGATCCGCCTACCTCTGCCTCCCCGAGTGCTGGGATTAAAGGCATGCGCCACCACCGCCCGGCCAAAGTTTCACCTTGAATCAGGGGGTGGAGTTAGGAAATAACTGACCAGAATTAACCATAGAGGTTTCGGAGGACTTGGGTACGTATAGAGAGACAGGATGTAGTAGGGATTGGTGTAGAAAGATTTTTCAGGCTTATGGATCAGGAAAGGAATGATAGAGGAAGTCCCTTTTTTTTCTGCTGTTGCTCTTATTAGTCAGGTTTTTACCCTAATATCTGATGCCCGGGTTTTTATTAATAATAATAATTGAGACAAACTCATTATTTGGCATCGACCATGAGGCACGAGACATCGAAGCGGCCTCTCACTGCTGCTCTGCAGCTGCCCGAGTTGCCCCTTCTAGCAGGGTCTTTATTCAGGCAGCCCATGCCCTTGCTTCCCACCACTAGGGTTTCTCATATAAGTGCCCCCTTTTTAGGCAGCTTGCTGCCTGTTGCCATGGATTGCACGTTGTCCCTGGAACCCCTCCTGGCACCCCTTCCCATTCCTCAGCGGGGCCAGCTCAGCCACTTTGACGTCCTCTCTGACCTTGACACCAGCTCTCACCTGCTGGGGCTTCTGCTGCAGCTGCCTCACACCCTCAGCCCTGACTTTGTGCAAGCAGTTGCAGCTGCCTTCAGTCCCCTCTTCTTCCTCAGCAGAGCACTGCTGTCTCTGAAGCTGTAGCCTGGAGGCTGTGCAGAGAGGGGTAGGTGAATACTGAGCAGTGTTATGTCAGGCTTGCTGGCAAGTGCTTCTTGTAGGCAAACTTTTCTTTCCTGCCTTGCCAGTTTGTAAATAACTGACACAGAGACTCAATGCGAATTATAAATGCTCAGCTGATAGCTCAGGGTTATTACTAACTAGCTCTTACCATTTAAATTAACCTATCGCTACCTGGGGGACCAACCTCCCAGCAGTTCAGGGTTTAAAGGGAATTCACAGAGTCATTATACTCTGACTTTTAATCTGAGGGGGTAAAGGAAAAAAAAAAAAACAACTCACCCATCCTCTGATAGTTTCCTTCAGACCTTTTCTCTATTCTTCTTTTGCATTCTCTATTTTTTATGTTTTCCTCTAACTATCTTTGTTCTTGATGTTTTCCAATTTCATCTCTTTTCTCTTTTTTATTGTTTTTATTAGCTATATATTTTTCTCTACTCCCCTCCCTTCTCCCCCCCCCTTGCTTTTTCCCATGATCCCCAAGCTCCTAATTTACTCAGGAGATCTTGTCTTTTTCTACTTCCTATGAATGGTATCATGGGAAAAGAGTAAGATGTCATGACCTTCCCTTTTGGGAGTGTTCTGAGGGTAACAGGTCCATATAAGAATAAGAAATGGTACTATAAGTGCTCCCCACAAGTCCTTTTCCCAGGGTCAGGCATTTAGATAAGCAAGGGTCTCCATTCATTCCCTTGTGAGGAACTTAAGGCCCTGCCACTAACACTGGTGCCTATTGTCAAGGTCAATGCTAGACTTCTTAACCCCTGACTTGAGGCCACATCCCAGTCACATGCTCCTTGTCTGTCTCCCATTCAATCCTATGTGTAACTACACAGCATAAAAGGTGGAATCTTTTCTTAATAAAATCCTGCTGGCAGCCATTTGGATTCACGCTCAGATCCTGTCCTCCTCCTCCTCTCCTCAGCCCGCCAACTCCACAAGGCCTCTTTGGGATCAGAGCCCCCCTCCCAAAGCATTAGGTCTCAGGCAAGGACATCTTCTTCCCATGTTGGGATGACAAAGTTTCTTCTTTCGCATGTCGCAGTGAGTCCAGGTGTGCTGGTGTGTCGTCCTAGAGGCAGGTGGATCTCTTTAACCCCAGCATGAGTGAGACAGAGGCTAAGCATGTTTTAGCCATGTGTCCAGGACGGCTAGGGAGATTCTATGCTGTCCTGGAATATATCTCTGGTGATTGGTATATGCTCCCTGAGAGACCTGTATACTCCTTCTGTGAGCTTCAGTGGACCAGGAAGTGCTGGGCAGAATCTGGTGCTGCTCAACATGTCTGCCAAAAGTTACATACTTTGATCCTAACTCTCTTTCCTGATGATTTCAATCTAACCCATTTTATCTTTATTCTTCCCCTTACAGCTTATACACCCCAGCAAAATCTTCCAGGAAATATGAATATTACAATGTGGTTACATTCTGTTTCTCAAGTGAATGATTACGATGAATACAAGCATAAAACAGCATATTTTCCATCTCCCTTACATGATTAAACTTTTTACATACTAAAGGTGAAAAAGAAGTTAACCAAAAACCCATGTACATTTATACTCAAGCAACATGTTATAGATTAACTGTGTAAAAGCCAGCAAGATATTCTTTACCGGCAGACTGCGTGTTGTGTTTACAAAGAAAGGACCAATCACTTCATTATCATGAAAAGTAATCTTACAAGGAATCTTAAAGGAATCACAGATCTAGACTTTTCTATATGAAAAAGAATCAGTCAGCTCTGCTTTAAACCTTTAGGGTGCACACCCACTCATCAATGGTTTTTTTTTGTTGTTGTTGGGTTTTATTTTTTTTTTTTGTTTTTTTTTTTTGGTATTTTGAGACAAGGTTTCTCTGTAGCTTTGGTGCATGTCCTGGAACTAGCTCTTGTAGACCAGGCTGGCCTCACAAAGATCTACCTGCCTCTGCCTCCCAAGTGCTGGGATTGAAGGCGTGTGCCACCACCTTCGTCAATAGTTCTTTTTTTTTTTAATATTTATTTATTTATTATGTATACAATATTCTGTCTGTGTGTATACCTGCAGGCCAGAAGAGGGCACCAGACCCCATCACAGATGGTTGTGAGCCACCATGTGGTTGCTGGGAATTGAACTCAGGACCTTTGGAAGAACAGGCAATGCTCTTAACCTCTGAGCCATCTCTCCAGCCCCCTCATCAATAGTTTTTATGTCAGGAGATTGAGGGCAAAAATGGGCACTAGGAATTAATCATCTTTGATCACCACTGGTCCTAGCAAGAACATGACGTCATCTAGTAGACATTGGGCTGCTGTGCATTTGTTCCCTGACTTAACGAGTTCCTCATTCAACTGTGTGCCTTCAGACCGTCCTCGTGGGCTTTTCACCTCAGAGCTATTTGGCAAAAACATCCCAGTCTAACTTTTAAGTTATTTTCAATCTTTTATCTCCGGTAAGATGTACTCTGTAACCAACACTGACATTAAAAGGATCTGAGCCAGCCTGGCTCCTGGGGACTCAATTGTTTCCTTAACTATGAACCTGACCTGCATCTCTGCAGCTCCTCAGGTGAAACTTGAAGGTCCTAGCTGTGGAACACTTCCTTGTACTTATTTTTAATCACCAGAAATAACTAACATTATTACTATCAATCAGTAGAGTTTAAGAAGAAATCATCTTAAAAACACCCCACAGGTAAAACGCCCAGTAGAATGGGATGTTCCTATGAGATAATCATGCTACATTGCAGGCAGTGGGGATCTCCCCACACCATTCACACCATACCAGATACCAGAGAAAGACAGCAGAAGTCAAAGACATTCTGGAGTCTGTGGTCTCGGGGCCGTGTCTGTCTGAGACTCACCCGCCAGGGATTTTCCTCCTGGTGGGCTGACACCCTGAAGTTGATCTCCATTGTTGCTCCTCTGACATGGCCACCGACATAACCCATTTCTATTAATCTCCATCTGCCAAGTGCCATTACCTCTCTTTCCTCCTGCACCTCCTGTTTCCTCTCAGTGTCTGGAGGAGACCCCTCTGACTCTGCCCTTCTTCTTCCTAGTGTCCTTAGTCTGGTTCTCCTGACTAACCTTATGCTGTCCAGCTATTGGCCACTCAGCTTCTTTGAAACCAATCACAGGGACGTATATTTACATAGAGTAAAGGAAGATTCCACAGCTTCTACCTACTCAGTTTTCTGATTCTTGGTTTTGAGACAGAGACTTTATATACTATGCTGCCTTGAATCTGCTGCATATCAGGTCTCCTTGTCTTTAGCTCCCAACTACTGGTGTGCTTACCATGTCTGGCTTTTTTATAGTATAGACTGGCATCATTTATTTTTTGAGACAGGCTCTACGTAGCCTTGGCTGGTTTGGAACTAGCCAGCCATGAAGAGCAGACTGTGCTCCAATTTTGAGACCCACCTGCCTCTGCCGCCCCAAGAGTTGTGACTAAGATGTGTGTCATCATGTCTGGCTCAGCCTCAAACATTCAATTTTACGTCAGTTTTCTGAGGTGCAGGGATTACAGGCATGAGCACACTGGCTTGTCCTGGGTTTGTAGGTCCATGATTGTGAAGTCCATCTATTCAGTCTGGGTGGTCTCTCTGCACTTTAAATTCTCTGGGGCAGAGGCCGGGACATCTAAAGGGGTCTGCAG